CCTAGCGCCTAGGCGGGAATTTTTAGAACAATGCCAACAGGGAAGATTTGCAGAATGTAGGATGCATCATCATGTTTAATTAATAAAAAACTTCATCCCTGGTTAGTATCTGCCGCCACTTTCTCTTATTGGTGTGAAGTAGTGGGTAAGGTGGCATTTTCACGTTGGATGCCTTGCTATTAGTGGAAGCAAAAGATGCTCTCAATACCATAATATGTTATTAGTCCCTAATATATCCAGGCTGGTTGTTGGGTGGATGCTAGGAAAATACTTTGATAATGTTAAAAGCAGAAATAGTTAACTAGGCATTCCACTTTGGTTGCCTTTTTTTAGGGTTTGTTTATTCTTTCGATCCTCCCAGAAGGGTCTGGTAGTATTGGGGAGAGCCTTATAGGACTATGGAAAATATAGTCTGTCGCAAAGACTCCCTACTTTTTGTGTATGTGTGTTTTTTGTTTTAAAATAGGGTCCTCTTTGGTCAATCCCCGTTGGTTGAACACCAATTGGTGGTCTCTGTCTGAGATTTAATTCTTTTTAAACACTCCTCATAGGCCATTATAATGGCTCTTTTCACCAATAAGGAGATATTAGGTTGCAAAAGTTTTTATTGATTTGTTTAGCATCTGCCTTTCATGCTTTGTGCAAAGTAGAGTCCTCATGATCTTTAATAATTTCAAAGTTTAATGAGACTTTGCAGGAGGACAGGCGCCATGCATCTTCCTTCGGCGTTGTGGGATTTCAATTTGGTTTACTTTATGGTCATTTGCTTTGCCTCCTCTATAGTTTATAGTTTGATGTGCAGCATTGGTGATAGGCTCCAATGATATCGGGTGCTTTAGGATTGAGAGCAACCTCCAAATTGATTGATAAATCAAGTATTGGATGCTCGCGTAGGCTAAATCCTCTCGAAAACTGGTTTGGTTAGTACAGGTTTGTATGTATTTTGATAGCAAATGCGTTATATTCTGTGTTTTTGGTTGGCAAAGGGAGGGCAAAGCTTTTGGCTTTGGATATTAAAGTCTAAAGATGGTTTTACTTGTTAATTAATTTAATTAGTATGTGGTTTCGTGGGGTCCGCTACGTATGACGGAACTGCAGTGTGTGACAGAGTCATAGCTGATATTATACTTGACAGTGGATCTTTGCGTAATAGACATCTTGCTGGATAGGTTGGTTATTATATTTGGATTTGGAAGCCAATATATTGCTCATTGATGAACTTGGGGAATTAAAGTGTGGGAGGGATGGATGGATATCTCTTGTAGTCTTTTCTGTCTACTCTGTGTCTCTTTCAACAAAATGATCTATGAAAACTTGCTTTTTCTGCACCTGTATTTTGCGGGAACAGGAACATATCATGCTTGTACCCAATGCTTTGGCTGCAGTGGAATTGAAATTGCATCAATTTGTTGCGTCGCGCGTATTTTTTTACGTGCGTTTTGAGACTGTTGATCTGAATCACTGATCATACGAGCTGTTCCTCTAAGGGCGAGATTTATAGATTAATAGTCTAACATCATAATATGTCTCGGAAAAAGAATGTCAGATGCTTGATTGTCAAAAGATAAATAGCAACATGATCATGGGTTGGATACTTGGATTGGTCATCCGGCAGGCTTTTAAGGGAAGGGTGACCTTATTTTTATTATTTTTTGTTTATAAAAATGGGATTAGTTGTGGAGCGCACTACCATATTTAACTTTAACGACTTGAATTGTTTATTTTTCAAGTTGCACCTTAAGGATCGTATTTCAAAGTATTGGCTAAATTGGAAATATTCGAGGCATATAATGGAGTTCAAAAAATTTGACGAACAAAGTGTTGAAAGAGAAATATTGAAATTTTTATCTTGATTATTAAATGGGTAAATGATTTTTGATTGAATTGATTTTTACAAAGATGATCGAGACTCACAATACAGGAAATTGGATGTGAAATAGATTCCATAACCAATTTTCATTTTTTGAGTAAAATGAGAATTCTTTTCCTAAAAGGGCCTGTGGTCATCCTTATCAGGTTAAATGCTGGGCTCAGACCAAGAAAGGGTTGAAATTGTACTTGAATTACCAATCCAGCTCCCTACCATCTTTCACTGCCCACAATTTTACTTTTGGCCCAGAACATAATTTTGGTATCAACTAAGGTCTTATGCTGCTATGCTGGGATATAGGAGAGAGAATTTGGCAGAGTTGCCCCTATTATCGAATGGGATTAAAATAATAATACTTCGCAAGAGGTGTCATCTCACAGGGAATTGGATCCTCTCCTGAGCAAATGTTGGGTATCCTCATGACCACACAACACGGGCTGTTGGATCAAAATTCAATAACCCGTGTTGTGTGAGGATCCTCACCATTTGCTTAGGAGGGGATCCATTTCTATCTCACAGTTTGGAAAACTCCTAGCTAGAGCCACCTAGGTCTCACTTAGGTAGTAGACGGTTGGGTATCGTGTTAATTAATTTGTAAGTGTTTGAAATTAAGAATTGACATTTAGACATGCCTAGCACCTGTCTAGGTTGCGACTCTCAATTAAATAGAAAACAAATCTTGATTTTAATTTTTCAATAAATTGGAAGAAACGTATTGAATACTTAGATGAACACTCAATATATTTGCTCCCATTATTTCAATATGTTCTAATTCTAATACTTTATAATATTTCATTTTATTTTGCAATTTACTTATCTTAATACAATTACATTTTTTTAAGTATAACTAGATATTTATTGATATATTCTCTTGTTATTTTGCAATTTACGTATCTTAATACAATTACATTTTGTTTTTCTCTTGTTATAAAAAATTAATATAAGATGTTGACGTGACTTAACCGTAACTGTTCAAATAGAAGAAGAGGGAGCGGGAGGAAAAAAATAGGGGAGATAATCCAACTCCCCCGAGACCCAGCACACAACCACAAACACAGCCGTCAAATCAAAGGTTGAAATTTGAAGCGACCGTTTATATAATTTAATTTAGTTGGGTTTAAGTTTAAACTAAGCAGAAAAAATTGTTACCACAAACTTGTGGCGGGGTTGTGGATAATGGTCATATTGGAGTTGATGCGGTCCAGCTGCTTTTGCCTACTCTATGGACTTTGGCTTTTATTTTCACATGGTAAATGGGTTCAACAATATTTTCCAATGTGACAGCCGGCTGTTTCTTGGTGTGCTTTGGCGTTTCACGACAAATTTCCTATGTGACATGTTGCGAGTACTTGTGAAAACCGAAGGAGGCCTTTGGGAGAACCTTGTTTGGTAAAAAGCCTCCGAACGAGGAAAAAACGAGTACCACTCTACTAACAACTGCAAAATCTAGTTTATCATATGAGGTGTTAGCCGATTTCTCACCCCCGGAACTTGTAAGAAAGTGTCAATTTCCTTACAAGGGAGAAAAAATGACGAATTATAAAAGTTTAAGAGGGATGATTGACTAAAATTAACATTCAAGGAAAAAATTGTCAACTCCTTACAAATTTGATGGAAAATCAACAAATACTAAATTAACATTATTTAGACGCCACATATAACCATCTTCTGACTAGCAAAGTAACCCTCTCGATCACACCGTAAAGCAAGCAAAGCTATGTACCACCAAGATATACACTCTTTTGGCATAAAAACTAATGATATTTACAATCAATGGTGGTTTACCGTAGTGGCGGAAAACAACCACACCTATGCACTTTGGTGCGAGTTCAATCCATTCTAATTCTCCTCTCCTAACAAACTAATATTTAATCCACTAACTTTATCGTTCTACTGAATGATATTTACAAAAGCTTTTAACAATATAATCTCAAATATCATATACCAATATACCAATGTAAAATTTCAATTCAACCTTAAGCACATACAACTCCATCACAAAAACTGATAATTACTCATCAGGCACAAACATATTGACACATCCATATTATAATACGAGATAAACAACACAACAACACTATATGACTGAAACAACACAATAACACTATATGACTGTCACATTTAAAACTTTATTTTGTTTCATGAGAACAATAGATATTTTATGTTGGAACAAATATGTCTTCAAACACATGCTCGTTGCCCTGAATGAATACATTGAACAGAAAATGTATGGTCGCTGATGGTCTTCTTGGATCTTCAGACATCAAGTTGTTTCCGGAAAATCTACAAAAACAAAAGGCTTGGATTCGTGATTGTGATTTTGACCTTAAGCACATACAACTCCATCACAAAAAAAGCACATACAACTCCATCACAAAAACTGATAATTACTCATCAAGCGCAAACATATCAACACACCCATATTATAATATAAGATAAACAACATAATAACACTATATAATTGTCACATTTAATAAAACTTTATCATTTTTCATGAGAACAATTAATACATATTTTGTGTTGGAACAAATATATCTTCAAACACATACTCGTTGCCCTGAATGAATACATTGAACAGAAAATGTATATGGTCGTTTATGGTCTTCTTGGATCTTCAAACGTCAAGTTGGTTTCGGAAAATCTACAAAAACAAAAGGCTTGGATTCGTGATTGTGATTTTGATTTGGAGGTGGGATATGCTTCCAAATGTGGGTTTCACGTAAGATTCTTGAACTGACATAAATTCACTTTCTATAATTTAATCTTTTCAATTTGTATATTGTTGATGGCACAAAATCCTTATGTGCACTGAATAAACCGTCGAGTATTATTATCATTCTACGTGTTATACACGTGAGTGGACAAGATTGTTGATATGTTTTCACATTTATGGTACACCAACAACAAGGTATGAATAACATAATATATAACAATTGAAAGAATTCAATAAGGTCGAGTAACATTTTTTAAGATGAATAATATATAAAAAAAAATATTCCATTTTAAATCTTAACAAAGATAGAAATGGTCCTTAGTTTGAGTATGCTTAACCATGGTTAACAAACTAACCTAGACCCTTAACCCTAGTGAACTTTCCACATACTATATATACAAATCAACCCACATTCCATCTTCATGACAAATGTCCATTTCTAGGTAATTCCACTGGCTTTTAGAATTCCCCCACTTAACTTCAAATAGTTATGAAACTCTTCATGCTAGCAACCCTTTTAATCATAGTCTTTTGGTTTGGAGCTACGACGTTGTACTCAAACTCTCTCACTCTCACTCTCACTCTCTTCCTCCTCTCATTCTTCAACCTTTTCCTCATCTCTCTGGGCCACTGGCTCGTTCCCGGAGGTTTTGCATGGTCATGTTATAATCATGACCAAAACTCTCAAAATGAGTCTAGCCTCCGAGGACCAGCTGGGTGGCCTATACTAGGGTTCCTACCCCATCAAATGGGTTCTCTTGCCCATCAAAAACTCTCCAGTATGGCAACATCCCTCAAGGCAACCAGGCTCATGGCATTCAGCTTAGGCACTACGCGTGTCGTCATCAGCAGCCATCCGGACACTGCTAGGCAAATCCTCGGAGGCTCGTCGTTTTCCGACCGCCCAATCAAGCACTCAGCTAAGTTGCTAATGTTTGAACGCGCCATAGGGTTTGCTCCTTCAGGAACATATTGGCGCCACCTGCGCAGCATAGCAGCTGTGCATATGTTTTCACCAAGGAGAATCGGAGGCCTAGAAACCCTAAGGCAACAGGTGGCTGATGAAATGGTGGTGAAAATTTGGGATGAGATGAAGGAAAATAGGGTTGTGGGATTGAAAGCAATATTGCAGAAGGGTTCTTTGGATAACATAATCCAGAGTGTATTTGGCACTAATTATTTAGGTTTAGAGAAGGAGGTTAGCACGAATCGAACGCTAATGTTGCTAGTCAAAGAAGGGTACGACTTGATTTATAGGTTTAATTTGGAGGATTATTTTCCCTTGAGGTTTTTGGACTTTTATGGTGTGAAGAGGAAGTGTCACAAATTGGCGGCTGAGGTGAAGTCTGTGGTGGGGCAAATTGTGAGGGAAAGAAAAAGAGCAGGAGATTTTGGTGGCGGCAGTGACTTTCTCAGTGCTTTGCTAGCTCTGCCGGAAGAAGATAAACTAAGTGATTCAGACACGGTGGCTGTTTTATGGGTAAGCAATAAAAAATCTGTCAATTTTAAATTGTTCTTAATATAATTCACTATATTTTCTCAATATATATGCAACTATTTATATATATATATATATACACACACTTTATATAATGTCGTATGCATCATATAATATTGATGACATCTTCAGTAAACAAAAATTCATAAAATTGGATATATATAACAAATTTATATGTGTGAATAACTGTTAACGTTGATCTGCATACACTAAAACTTATCAACTTTCAAATTAACGATTGTCTATATGCATGTGAATAATTGTTGAGTTTTTTTTTTTTTTTTTCAAAATGTGAAAAATTGTTTTTAAGTGACAGATCAATAATTATGGGGGATAATTTTCCCTATAGATCGGATGACTTTATGAAATGTGAGAATCCAAAATCCTGCTGACTGAATGGAGTCGAATCTTAGCAGCAAAAGCTATTTAGTCATGATTGATGACATAATAAGACCATACCCTAGCTAGCTAACATGGCATTTGACCAGAAGATTCTAAATTATATTATTGTTCTATTTAGAGTCGGTTTTTCTTGAATATGTATGTCTCAACATTGACACATATTTGACTACTAAATTTGATTCAATAGTCTTTTATCACTTATTTTTAATTATTGAATCAAATATATGTCAATACATAATCAAGAAAATTGATTTGGACTCCGTTACCATCAAGTTCAAATAAAAAATGACCCCAATAATATGATGGGGAACCTTTCACAAATTATTTACTATGATTAAATCATATTCCATACGAGTTTTATATGAGAATATGAGCTATCTCTCTTTTATGCTATACACGTTGATCTCCTTTCTATATTCTTGGTGCTTTGCTAGCTCTGCTGGAAGTGCTAATATGAGGTTAAATTAATATAATTAAGATTTGTTTCCCTAATAGTTTTGATCTGCTAGCTCCTAGTACCACCATAAGATTTTATGTGCATAATTAACGAAGCCTTTTGTCTTTTGGTTTTGTGACATTATCCAGGAAATGATATTTCGAGGGACAGACACGGTTGCAATACTTCTTGAATGGATTATGGCAAGGATAGTCTTACACCAAGACATCCAAGCCAAAGCACAACAAGAACTTGACACACACGTGGGGAACAAGAGGCACGTGCGAGACTCCGACCTTCCGAACCTGCCGTATCTACAAGCCATAGTCAAGGAAGTTCTCCGAATGCACCCTCCGGGCCCACTGCTATCATGGGCCCGTCTGGCAATCCATGATGTTCACGTGGACAAAGTTTTTATCCCAGCTGGCACAACTGCGATGGTGAACATGTGGGCCATAACCCACGACCCATCCATTTGGAAGGATCCAATGGTGTTTAGGCCTGAAAGGTTCATTGAGGAGGACGTGTCAATAATGGGCTCGGATCTCAGGCTTGCACCATTTGGGTCGGGTCGAAGAGTATGCCCGGGTAAAGCGTTGGGTTTAGCTACAGTGCACTTGTGGCTTGCTAGGTTTTTGCATCAATTCAGGTGGTTACCGGCGGAGCCTATTGACCTTTCGGAGTGTTTGAAGCTCTCTCTCGAAATGAAGAAACCACTCACATGCCACGTTGTCCCACGCAATCCATTATGAACTAAAGAAGCTAGCTAAGCTAGTGGTTATGAATAATTAGTGAAAATATATATGCATTGCACTGATGAAAAATTGTAGAATGGTGTGAGTAGTGATGGAAGTAGGTAAGGCGTGGTTTGCATAGTGTATCTGGGGCCAGTAAAATGGGGTACTAGGAAAGAACTCTCAAATCCAACATATGAAAAGTACGTAAGTAAATCTTTGGCTCATGAACACTGTAAAATAATGTTTTGACTATTTATAAAAGCTTGTGGATTGAACTTTTGCATAAATGTTCAACGTGTTACTTTATTACCGACTATATATTCTCTTTTTCTTTATAAAAAGAAGATTAGTTGGTGGCTTTGTCGTGACAGTTCATCTTTTTGAGATTGAAAAGACTAAGAAATAAATTTTTGCTTCTTCCTATTTAATATCGTGTAATTCACATTCACCAAGACTCAAATTAAGCCGTGTTGGCCGCCTATATATTCATACCGCTTTATAAAATTTAGTCTATGTCAATAAACAACTTTAATTTGACATAAGTTCACAAATAGTTTATGTCATTGGTGTTTGAAAAAGTCTGATTGAAATTAATTGTATTATTACACATAATTTGCATACTATTTCACAAAAGAAAAATTATTCTCCATACAATAAAGCACACGTGCAAGTGCATGCGCCATAATAACTACGTCACTACAACAGTCAATTGTAATTAAGTATCAATTTTACTACAAACTGTAAATTGAATATGAGAATACTTTCTCCAACCAAGTATTAAAGACAGTACCGTTAAACTTCTATAAATTAACAGCACTGTGATAAAAAAAATCTATTAATTTAGAATCGATAAATTAATAAACTATTAATTATTGAATAAATAATAATTAATTTATCGAGGTTTTCCTTCTTCTTTTTTAAATATTTGTACATTGTATATGTTTCTTGTTTTACAAACTAACAATTCTAGATATTCGTTTAACAAAGTAAAATTCATGAATCTACTTATTTGTTTCAAAAATAGATGTACTTTGTTTATTTATACATCCACATCATTTAGTTTAAAAATTTGATCACCCTAGCATTATTCTTTCATTTTATGAAAATTTAACCAAACTAAAACTCGATTTAAATAAACAAAAGTCATAGTAACACAACATAGCATACATACAACAGTAGTGATTGACTTCTCATATCAAAGGTGTAAAGAAATAAAAAAAATTATTAATTTATATATTACATGAGACCTTTTCTTTTCTTTTTTGAACAAATGTATGATATTCATTAAGCAAATCAGAATTCGTACAAACTGAGGATAGTGTGCATGATGGGCCTCAATAAAAACCTTGCTAGGAATTTCAACCCGATCGAAGGAAAAGAGTGTCCCGCACAATAAGAGATCTATCCTCAAATTAACAATAAAGTAAGTTTACAATCCCTCCTCTAGAATACTATCTTGAATTAAATCTGGGGGCTCTTCAAACCACACAACCTTATGCGCACTGGTAATCCCCATCCGAGCAAGGCGATGAGCTGCCGAGTTCCCTTCCCGCTAGACATGACTAACCACTGAATTCAGCCACGCCAGAGAAGGTATCGCAAGTTATTAATTATAGGACCGAAAATAGATGTATCTTCCCCTCGCCCCTCCATGGCAGCCAACATCAACGCAACGTCTCCATCGAATTGAAACTTTCCCTCCAACGTACCTCGGGTGTGAGCCAGTAGTGCAACTCTTCGAGTTGCAAAAAATTCAGCATGCATCGCAGTGTGAACCCTCTCAATTGGACCAGCAGCAGCGGCAACGCACTCCCCCACATGATTACGAATTATATTTATCTTATAAATTTAACGAATTATTAATCAATAGGTTAAGCAAGTTAAGGTGAGAAACCGAATCTTGGTTTTTAAAGATTAATTACATCATTAACAATCATACATGACATTGACTACATACGGGTCAAATCCACCATATCCACTAACCATTGTTTAATTAATTAAGACCAAGTAGTTACGTACGTAAGCAATATGTAGATGATACGATCTAAACTGTAAATCCATGCATGGCTTTGGTTCAGTAGTCTTGTCATTTCGATTCTAATTAATTATAATTAAACTTTATATGACAATTAGTATGAAAGATCACGAATCTTTACTTTCACCTAATTATATCTCACCAAAACTTAAAGTCGAATAACTAATTAAAGCTTCCACTTAATTAGATCTCCTCTTTAATTAATTAATTTACCATCTAATCGAGCCACCTTGCAAATTTTCTTTTGGTGTAAATTGTTTTCAAAAACAGATTACATCAAAATCGTTTTCAAAACAGTTTATAGTGGAGTTGAGAAAGAGTCTTTAAAATCCATCAACCTAAAAAGGAAGAACAGCTAGTGATGAGTTTTTGAGTTGTCCTCGTTGCAAATTATTATCCACCAACATCTGCACCAATGCAATCTTAATTTAGTGTGATTCATTATATTGTTGTATGGACAACAATACCGAACATGCTCGTTTTGCTTGTCCTTATCAATAGCAATTGGAAACAACAATCCACCTAGTGACATTGATGGAATTCTCACATTTATATGTATTTTGATTGTGAGGTTATTTTTTTTTTCCGAAAAAGGAGACTAGTTGCTGGCTGGCATCCATCATTCTGGGTCCGAGAAGACTCATAGAGACATTTCAGCTTTCCTCTTGCCACTATCGTATGATTCACCAGAGTCAGGAATCAAACTCAGAATGTGCTGTGATTGTGAGGTTGTTAATTACATTGTTAAACAAATGTATTTTGTTAATTAATCATGCATAAAACTACTTTTATATAACATAAAACTACTTCGAAAAATGTAAAAAGTCTCACTTCAAAAACATGACAGAATAAAGTATAACTTAAATTGAGTGTTTCAACTTCTATTTGAACTGAGATTTTTTGTTATAAAAGCATCATGCATGTGTTTGGTTAGCATGGGATTAAGGAACAATATTTGATGTTTGACCAATTAATAGTTGGTCGTTGGCCCTCCTCTATGAAATCTCGAGAATTATGACATTAGTTAAAATCATGCCTATGAATCAAATCTTAGCCCCAAAGGCATTATATTTTTGCTAATTAATCAAGCCTTAATTAATCTGCTTTGATTCGTACGAATTGATGACTAAAGATTGTAAACCACTAGCTGATCAAAACAAAAATGTCTCTTCTTTCTATGAGAGAGAGAGATTCGAAGCCCCACGAAAACTTGCTGCAATTAGTCATTAGGGTTTTCAAGTGGTATGCATTTAGTTGATGGATATAGATGGATCATGCAGAGAATATGTCGTGTGGACCAACCCATATTCCTTAAACTTGTACATAATGGTAAAGATATTTCAAGGCATGTCCTAAAGTTTTGGCTTTTTAAGATCCAAATCTTTAGCTTTTGTTCAAGGGCGAATCGCTTTAACCCACGTTTGCTTTCCCACACATTGCATATAACTTAAAATTGCCATATGTTGATGCTCCACAAATTCAATTGGGACCCCCCATACATGTCACGTTTGTTCAAGTTCATATGTTTTCCATTTTTAATTAAGCTTCTTCGACACGTGGATATTGCTAAATTGGTTCAATGTTTGAAGGTGTCTCTACATGGAATAGAGTGGCATATTTCTTACTTTCTCATATCCTCTTAGGGTTGTAACTTGAAGTACTCGTCCGCAATTTTAAGCACAACAACTTATCTTCAATGTGATTTCTTGACAGTGAGAACGCTGGTAAGATTTTGAGTATGGCAACTCACAAGAAGATGATACTTAAATGTCAGAGGTTTCAACCCTGCTAGTGAGTTGCCCTATGCGACAACCATTATCTAGCAATTTTTGAGATGTGTACGCATATGCTTAAAATACTCTCTTATTGATCCATTCATAAATGTAAATAAACTATAGAAGAATATTGAACTCAGAAGTTTACTTAACGTAGTTATATTCGTCAAGTTGATTTCTAATGTGTAAGGAACTAACTAATTAAGGATATGCATATCTAAGGGGTAGGTAACCATGCATGCGCGCATTCTAGTAAAGTTTGGTGTAAAGGAGCAATATGCTCTTAATATATATAGTATGAGGCGGATTTATGGCACCATTTTTTTCACACAATTTTTAACACACGTTTTAGTACAATGTTTTTTTTTTTCGTAAGTGAACTACAAGCTACTTACGTATACAATAACTTGCTTGGCTATATTGATTCATTCCATAAGAGGAACTAATTAATAACTTGGACATTAATTGTGAGGTTTTTCTAAGTTGTGATTAAGCGAGGAGTACTTAATTCGTTTCTTAATTAGATGATGATCACTTTTTTGCAATTGTAGCATTTGGGTGCGTACGTGGGGTTGTTTTTCTTCCATTAACAGAACAGAAAGACAACAACAATTGAACAAAAAATTCATTAATTTTCTGCATGCAAATGAGGGATAATAGTTTATATCTTAGGGTAGTGCTTTTACAGTCCCCAAAATACCATATAACATTGTAATTTATATACATGAAGCGGATCCGTGACACTATTTTTTTATACAGGTTTTGACACATTTTTGTAGGGCCTCCTTCGTAATCTATTTAACGATTTGAACCATCTATCTTTTAGGACTTCCCTCAAAGAAAGTTTATAAAAAATACCCAAATCTGAAACCATATGACCGTTGGACTAAGGGTTTGGGGTTTCTTTGTAGAATTGTATTCATTATTTTCTTCATTACAAATGTATGTATTAATGATTTTGTATTTGTGTAATTTTTATGCAAGGAGGATCTATGATTTCGGATAGTTGAAATACACATAATGAGCCTCACAAAAACATGTCAAAAGTTGTGTAACAAAGTGTCACGGATTTGCCCCACATATATATATACATACAGTAAATACTTCAAATAACACTACTAAATTCTACACATGTTAGTCACCTTAGGGTGCGTTTGTTGTATCGGACTATCTCGGACTGGACTAGTTGCAAGGACTAAGTTGGACTAGCTTAAACTAGACTAAGCTGGACTAGTTTAGTAAAGCATTTGGTGCAATGTCGGACTAAACTACATATTAAAATATTTTTAAGATCCACAATATTTTATTATTATTTTTCATTCACTCTCAAATTATAAAAATAACAAAATAACTATTATATTATAAAATATCTTCTGCCATTACATTTTGTTGAGTCGTGCTTCTTCCATTGCCTTCTGGAAGATAACTAATACCCTTCCCTGAAACCCTTTCTCTCTCTCTCTCTCTCTCTCTCTCTCTCTCACTCTCACAACTTTGTAGAGACACACCTGCCCCTCTTCACTTTCTCTCACATCTTCACTTCCTATTTCTCCCTCTTAGTACATAAAGTATTGGTGCTCATTCCAGTCACCGTCGACAAAAGTTTATCCTCTCACAGCCAAGCAATACGAAAAAATCGTGCAATCAACAGAGCCCATGGCGGGATTTAGATTTTGGAGGTGCTGGAATGACTGGTCTATGGTTGATAGAGCGACTGGGTTTTAGAGGCACAATGATTTTGTAGAATTTTTTTTCTGTTTTTTTGTTTCGAATTCTGGGGTTGGATGTTTTGGGGTTTTTGATGTGGGAGATAGTGAGGAAGAAGTAAATGAGAGCGGCGAAGCAGGGAGAGCGGAGCAACTAAGAAGAGAAAGTGGTAGAGGAAGCCGTGATTTACGAGGACGCGGCGGTGGTCCTGGGATGGTCTAGCGAGGTTGTCGACCAGGGTGAGGAGTCGAGCAGAGCAAGCAGTCGAGGGGACAATGCAAGAGAAAAGAAGGGTCTTAGCAATCCGGTGATATTCGGGGGGTCTTGCTAAGACTATCTAGAGAGCCCCGTAGTCGAGGCGAGTGAGGTTTAATCCCACTAAAGCTAGTCCCTCTAACAAACATGGGATTACACTAACACCTAATCCAGTCTAATCCAATCCCACTTAGTGAGGTCAAACAAACGCCCCCTTAGTGTGTTAGTGCCTTGTTTGGTGGCCTAGATAATATGAATGAGACTTTGAGTACAATATATATTGAATTAGACCTTAGTTGGATTTCGACCCAAGGTTTGTGCCCTAATTCGAAATATATTTAGGCCAACTAAATAGCGACCTTGCCACTCGTCCAATTTAATTGGACTCGCCATTCTGTGTATTGAACGAACTCTAATCCTTTCATTCATAATTTTTAAAATCGAAATGAATCATATCTCTTCAAAATACCAATCAGTTAACAACTGTTCGATTTAATATTGAACAAATGATGTTTCATAAGAGTTCGATTCCATCTCAACCCACGACCAATATAAAGCTCACTTTTCTGAATTGAGGTCTTAAATTTAAATTTGAAGCTTTTAAATTTACATGCCTAAAATTTTGACAGGCTTAAAAATCCACAAAATTAATACCAAAAAAAAAAATACAAAACCCAAATCCAATATCATTTTGGGCCTTAACTCTAAATTTGAGCCCAAATACGAAAGGGGGCCGCCGTTTGATGGGTCCCTTCAGTTGCATGTTGTGGCTGCAAACACGTGGAAAAGCATCAATTTAATTAGAGGGTAGGTGGAGCTTCCGTAGTCCTCCCAAAAGATGAGGTTCAACTTTCAAAATTTTAAAAAGATTCTCTCAACGAGGTACTTTATAAAACAATATTTTACGCAACAGTCCTCCAACTTTTGAATTCTCAACAAGTCACCCAAACAAAAATGCAGCTGAATTGTATTAAAGCTTTGGATATTTTTCTTTCTTCTCTTTTTGGCCAATTGGTCACGAACATACTATCTTTGCTCAGTTGAGTGAACTATATAATATGTTTTTTATTTTATACAAGGGTATATTTACACAATGGATAAGAACTTCATTGGCAATATCAATTTAAGTTTATTTTTTTTGGAATATATATCCATTTAATTTTTTTTAATGTTTATAAACTACGACTAAATTAATAATAATTTTTTTACAACTAAATTAATAATGTTAAATGGTGTGGTTTGATTTAGTATGAGTCAAGGGTGGAGCTAGAAATTTATATAGGGGTGGATTAATTTAGTGACCATAGTTGGGGTATTAGACTTAATTTTCCATAACATTCTTACTTTAACACCAAAAGTTTTGGTCGTTTTAAACTTAGGGTGTACTAGAGTCTAGACTCTAGTTGGCTTCACCCTTGGTTTGAGCTAAAATGAGCTGATAAATCAAACTAATATTGGATGGTTTAATTGTTTGCTATGCCAGGTATGAAAAATACATCTGCAAAAGAGGTAAAAACTCAATTAACAACTGACCTTGTATATTTACACAGTCAGTTGCTACTTTCGAAAGTTAGTAGATTGGGTCATACAATATATTTTATTCAAAAGTATTGTTTAATAAAGAGCATGAAAATATAATTTGGATCTCATAAGATAAGATAAAGTTAAGATATTAATACTTATAGGGAATAATAAAATTTGAGGAGTTGAAGAGTGGATTGAAGTGACCAAATGTAAAGTAGCATAAAAGTGCCAAATGAGTTAGCAAAAGACACTTTTAAAGAAAAATTTTGCTAACTCCTTTGGAGATGATCTTGTACTTGAAAATTTGATGCCTACCTAGAATTTTTTTCATGTGATTTTTAAGGTTGATTTCGTGTCTCATGTTTTGCTTCATTATCTTGTTTTGTTTGATTTCCTTTGAAGTGCACTAAAATAATATTTTAAACCAATGACCTAGGCATGAGTTTATAGATCAGTTGGTTAGAGTATTCATCTACAGTTCATGACTAATTGGTCTATGGATGCCTGGTTTCTAATTAATTAGAAGAAGTCTAATGTTGGATTTGCACTAATGAAGACAATATATATTTATAATGAGTTTGATATTAGATTGTATCATATTGTTAATTGTTAGTTGTTGACAAGTCGTTATAAAAATATCTTTATAAATATTACATCACTTGACATGAAAATATCTTTCTTTTATCTTGTTTTGTTTATGCCATACTTAGGTTATCCGTATTTAGACATCGTATAAATACTCGGAGGATCCAAATGTAATTATGTAATAGATGAAAGGGCAAATATGTAATAAGTGATGAGCTCTTATTCTATAAAATGACCCATCACTCTCCCCATTAGGGGATGCCAATTCTTAGGCCTGAGATCCCCGTAGCCTCACTCTCACATTCAGAGAGGCTCATCCTCACATACAGAGACTCTCTCCCTCACAATCCTCTCAGAGAAATACAATATCAGTGTGGATGTAACCCAAATATTGGGGTGAACCACGATACATCTTGTGTTCCTTACTTTCTTGCAGATTCACGATCAAATTTACGTTGTTCCAAGACCCCTCTAGTTTTGTACATCAACATGTTTCATATAAGACTTATTAATAATGAGTAGTATTAAAACTCATTACTCCTACTTCATATTAAACTTGTTTTAACAAGCGACGACGAAGAATGGAAAAACGAATATAAAATCTCCAATGCAAAGATAAATATTCTTAAACAACTGAGTGACAATGAAAAATGAATGTTAGAAAGTGACCAAATGCCAATTAAAAGACCACAAAAAGATAGGGGCCATGGTGGAATATCCAAAAGTCAAGAGTAAAGTTTACAAATTCCAAAAATTGACGTACCTCTGCAAATGAAATTAAGACAAATACCTGGAAAACGATAATACTATATGTCTCCATCTTCGAAATTTCAGCAAGAAAAGCATAAAAAAAAAACAAAAACTTCCCCACGTGCACGTCCCTCACTACACACCAAAACGAACAAACAACCTGCATCCTCACCGTTCAAACCCACAAACCCACCACGCGTCAATCATCCAACAGAGAGTACGTTCCACACCCGCAACGACGAGTACGGAACCTTCCCCTGTGAACCCCATAAGAAAGTACTCGACCGATAAAAAAATTTCAAAAATTCAGAGAAAATTTCGGGGAGAATTATTTATCACCAGATCCCTCTGTTCAGACAAAATAAAATTTTCGATCCCTCCGACTTTTCCCTCTCTTTTCCCTTGGAGGGAAAGCCTTAATCCAAAATCCCCTGCTTCAACTAGCAGAGCAAAATTAGGGTTTTCATAAATGCTTAAGCTTCACTGACGGGGATCTTTCTCTCTGCTGATTCACTGTTTGGTTACCGGAATAGCGGCGGCAGCTTCCGGCGTTTGGTATTCCGATTTGATTTTAGCTCAGGTACGTAATGTGGAGTGAGAGTGTTTGGTTCTTGGTTTAGTTTGAGTTTGTAGCTCTGGTTTTTGTAAGGTGCATTTCTTGAGCTGAATTTTAGGGTTTGTTTGGTTTTGATGTTTTGCATGTTGGGTTTGTGGGGAAATTTGTGTTATTTGCTAGTGAGAAGTGGAATGGAGTGAGTTAATTTGATTTGATGTGGTTGTGTTTTATGATTTAGCTTTGTGATTGTGATAAAATGGGTTTTAGGGTTTAAGCTTTACTTCGAACTGATGATTAATTACATAATTTTCTGCTAATTGAGCTTAGTTTCGGGGGCACTCTAGCTGCTGATTGATTTCTTGGTTCTTGTTGAGTTTTTCGATTTGCGGTTCTTGAACCAAATGCTGAAAAAAGGTTGCATTTTTCATTCACCCCAAGTTTTGAAACCTTGAGATGTTTGAATTAGAAATAGTTGATTCGCCCGTATAGAGTGATTAAGCCTCGGATTGGAAGTTATTATGAATGTAGGATGCTTGACTTGTTAACCGATTTCCGAAATTTGAATTCTTTCTTCTGAAGTCAAGTAGGCACACCTGCAGCATTCTCAAAATTAAGCTGTTTAATTCAAGTCAAAATGCAAACGAAGAAAAGAAGTTCCGGAAGAACTGCTGCGAGAGAGCATGCTTGTCCCAAGGTTACAAGAGCTCAGAAGAAAGCATATGAAAGTGTGCAAGTTATGGAAAAGAAAGTTGCTGACCTAATTACATCTTCAGCAAGGAAGCAGAGAATAGGTAGGTTACCTTCTTATTCGTTACACAATAACCTCGGGAAATGTTCCCCATACTTGTATGGAATATATTTAGTGCACATTTTACTTCTAAATGTTAAATGGTGACATCCCCTGACAAATTTCTTTTGGTAGCATACTTGTATCCATAGTGGCAATTTTGAAACTTTTTCTAACCCATAGAGGCAGAAGAATGGCTTCCAATTTCTCTTCGTGTTTTTTTGTCGTCAAGGTTCTATCCAATTACTGTTTTTAATTGTCATCTTTATACCACAACTTTCAGGTGGCACTCATAAAAAGAATGGGGGGCCTTTTACTGCAACCAATTCAGATTTGAATTATGACTCAATGCGTGATGGGACTGCTGACACTTGTTTGGGGCATGATGCTATGCGTGATGATTGCATAGATATTAAGGTAATTAACTAGCTATGTCATGCCCAGCTCGGTTACGTTGCCTATAAAGCAAAAGCAAAAAGAAGAAGAAACGAAACAGAGTGTTGCCTGAGCATTCAGTATTGAAAAATTTCTCGAATTGACCATGTCATATCATACTGCAGGATTGTAAAGAGGGAACTACTGATTGCAAAGCGGAAACTATATTTTCTCCTGCCTTTCACATATCTAAACATGCCGAAGGGGAATCTGATAATGGAGGTAGATGAACAAACATTTTTATATTTTATATATGTATTTCACATTTATGATTATGTAATCGTGTCTCTTTCCTTCTCTATTAATGGTTAAAAAATCTTACCGAAAAGTTTTGTGGTTTTCTTGAGACTGTTGTGACCTCATGGTTTTTGTTTTCCTAGTTGATTTTGTTAAATTCTTTAGAAATGGAGACCACAGTTATCATCAAGATTGTGAAATAATGTACTCAAGGGTTGATGTGCTGAATGGTCATGTTGTTCAAGAGACTTCCGAATCCATGGTTAGAGATGAGAGGAGTTACTGTGAGAACACATTTTCTTCAGTAAATATAACATGTCCTGGTAATACAAATGAAATGATACAAAATGTATGAGCAAAATAGAATGCACAAAAACTATGTGATATGTGGCACAACTAATGTGTATCCTCATTTTAATGCAGTTGTGGATCCAGCCACTATTTCTTCTGAAGTCTCAGCCATATATCTTGCCATGAAAAATTCCAAGTTGGAATGTGTGGATGAACATGGTCACGAGCCCATGTCAACTGATTTATACACAGATGATGACGAGTATGAGGAAGTTGATGACTTTGATCCTTACTTTTTTATCAAGAACTTACCAGACTTATCAGCAGTTGTTCCAACTTTTCGGCCGATGCTTTTGCCTAAACAGACACGGCGTTGTCCTCCTACTAGTCTTGTTTTGGATTTGGATGGTGAGAATAATGGCAAACCGTTGTATTTATATCCTTATTCATTAATTCACATGACTCTCAAGTCTCACCTTAGGAACAATTTGTAACTATATATCTCATTGTTCATGGACTGTTCATGGTTCAGAAACTAAGTGTTGATATGTGATAGGGTGTTGCATTGAGTTTGATCTTTTGCCTGTTTCTTCTGCCAAAATAATCTGGATGTGTCTGAAGACAGTAACTTCCTTGTAGCATGTTTTGCTTTTGTCATCTTTATGATGAGAGTCAAAAAGAACATTTGTTGATAATATTTATCTTCATTTTAATTGTTATTGCTTGATTATTGTAGCTGTATGGTAGGACGGGGGATCCGTGCATGAGCATTTTCTCATAGCTGTTTGTATTCTGATGGAAGATCTGATTAAATTATACTCCACTTTTGTGCATTCGTTTTTCCTTATAAGGGGTGCCAAATGTGTCTTTTTCTAGGACACAGGCATGCATTTTTATCTCACTATATTGTTTATATGATGCAACATTTAGTCCTTGATTTCTATCATTCCTTGCTTGTTGATGTTTTGTTTGAACTATTGGTTAGACTTGCATGCTAAGACTGACTTTGATCTGGCAGAAACTTTGGTACACTCCACACTAGAACCTTGTGCTGATGCAGACTTCACTTTTGCTGTAAATTTTAACCTCCAAAAGCATACAGTATATGTCCGATGCCGTCCTCATCTCAGAGATTTTCTGGACAAAGTTTCCAATCTTTTTGAGATCATAATATTTACAGCTAGTCAAAGTATTTATGCAGAGCAACTTCTAAATGTGCTGGACCCAAAAAGGAAGATATTTCGCCATCGTGTTTTTCGGGATTCCTGTGTTTTTGTGGAGGGGAATTACCTCAAAGATTTGTCAGTTCTTGGTCGTGATTTGGCACACACTATCATAATCGACAACTCTCCACAGGTATGCTATTCCAACCTTCCCCGCTCTGCCATTAGCAGTTATGTGCCTAAGCCCTTGAAGGTGATTTATTGAATTTAATATGTCTAGGAGCATATTTTGGCATACTTTTTGGAGTGTCTTTGTTTTTCCTTGGATCAGTGAGGTTCTGGATAAGCCTAATATGGTGATGAATAAAAGTGAGTTGAAAGAAGCTCCATCTAGTCTTCTGGTAAAATTTATCAGCATTATATATTTCGAGTCAATGGTCAATCTTCAGTTTTTTGCTTGTAATGTACATCATTAGTGGGTTCCCTTGCCTTCTTGTGGAATCAAATGTAGTCAGTCCTTTCTAAGCTTTTGGTGAAGCCATGTTTGGAGCAGTTTCAACCGGATATATCAGATTTCATTTAATGAACATTTACTACACGGATCTCAGATTTCATTTATGAACGTTTACGACACTGGATCACTTTGTCAGCGACAAGTGAAATGTGAAATATGAAACACGAATACAACTTTAAATTATGCTAATCTCAGGAGGAAACCCTAGGATTATGTTTGTCCTTTCTTCAATACTATTAACTTTGTTTTTGCTAGGTGTAACATTTTGGTGTGTTGGCTTTATTTCAGGCATTCGGGTTCCAAGTAGACAATGGAATTCCAATTGAGAGCTGGTTTGATGATCGTTCTGATAAAGAATTACTCTTCTTACTTCCTTTTTTGGAGAGCTTGGTTGGAGTAGAAGATGTTCGGCCACTAATTGCAAGCAAATTCAGCCTTAGGGAGAAAATAGCTGCAGCTGCTTATCCTCTTAACTCAAACAGAGGCGATCCTTTCGAAAGGTAAGCCTTCAGTGTGAATGATCAGTTTCACGGTTTGAAAGCTCTTCTGGGTGTATTTTCTGTACTTTTAGAACCAGAAACGCTGTTCTGTTTGTTGTGAAGTTATGTGCTTTCATTGAGAAAGACGGAGATACAATTGGGGTGTAACATGGGTCAAATGCAAGGAAGACACATAAACTTTTGATAGAAAATTTGCTTACAAATAAGTTTCCTACTAATTTAACGGTGTTATACATGTTTGAAGTGTTGGGTAGTGGAATATTGTTTGCTCTTTGTGTTGATTGTTAAATTTTTATTTATGAAGCTTTGGCTTCGTATTTTAGCTCGAAAAGTCTTTTTGTTGAGAGATTAATTAAGAAAGAAGAGAGAATTTGTGAAAAGTGTTCTTCAGTTTATATCATGAACATCTCGTGACCTTGCTCGAACTTTGCTCGGATAATCCACCCGATACCTGAGTTCCGATGGCGAGTGTTAGAATATGGACTTCTGGCTTTCGACATTATGCTCAATGAGAAGTGCAACATCAGACAGAGGCTCAGCCGTTGTTAAAGACTTAAGAGTCGCCGTTTGTCTCTTGGTTCTGTGAAGAACAATTCTAATGCATTTGGGTTGAAATATTCTGTCTCTGTATCTGCAATGGCAATTTGCAAAGTGAAACTGGTGGGACCAAATGGTGAGGAGAATTGAGTTTGAAGCTCCAGATGAGGTTCGCATCCCTGAGTCAGCTGAAAGCGCAGGGCTGAAGTTGCCTGACACTGCAGGTCCGGTGCCTGCTCTACTTGTACTGGGCTGTTGGTTTGGGGATTGGCGGATCAATCGGAGGCGGTGATCTTGGATGAGACGCAGATGGAGCAAGGGTATGTGGTCACCTGCGTCTCATACCCGACCTCCGATTGTGTGATTCACACACACAAAGAAAGCGATCTCTATTTGCCAAAAAACCACAATGAGTGAAGGAAGAACTTCCATTTGCTACACTAGTCCGGTCAACATCTTTTCTGCATTATTTGAAAATGGTTGTAGCAAAAGAAGAAAAAACTCTAGTAATTAATTAGTCATTACCATATAAGTTTATTTGACACTAAGAAGTTGGGTTTTCTTTTGAATATAGTAGAATTGTGTACCATTTTTCACTTGAAATGATATAAGAAAATAAATTAAACCTGTCCGTTTGGGGTTGATTATTTGGTACAGCTTCTGCTTCATCAAAAAGTTTTGGATTACTACGGCTATTTGGTAATGCTGTGGTGTGGAAAAATTGTTGTGCGGGAAAATTAATTTAAAGGTAAACTTAAAAAGTAACTACGGTGCTATTTTCATTTCGGTTCACACATGTTCTTAATTTCACATGCATACAATTCAAAAGTAGTTAAGAAACAAAAAGAAAACAAAGGCATTCTCGAGCAACTTCGAAAGTGATTTACACGGGAGTAATCTAGGCAAACAAATTTCTGTTATACGTTTAGAGTTGGCCCTTTTAAAAGTTATGCGTGAATTAAAATTGAGACCTCTTTGACTTGGTAGGAGAATCGAGGCCTTTGTTAAGTGGGAACTGATGCGTAATTAAGGATCAGCTAATCAGGTGTTACCGTTGGAATTGGCGTGCTCGTTATCAAATCGCGGCTAATTAATCATTAACGACTAGTGATTAGGGACTAATACAGGCACGGTCTCCGTGCACCGCTCCTGGACTCCAAAACCGAGGCCGTAACAAACTCCGATTTCCGTTTTTGGACACGTGTTCAGCAACCGACTCTCTATCCCAGCGCGACGCGTTTTGCATGATCTGCGATTCGTGAACCGTCGCAAGTTAACTTACAAATTTCACCGCCTCCCGCCACTTTCCTCGTTTGTAATAATTCAAATTTTCGTCCAGTTACCAAGTTTCTTCATAAGCAAACTCAAAGCTCTCATTCGCTCATTCACTTTCTCTCTCTACTCTCTCTCTCTCTAACTTCCGATTTTCATTTTTCTCTCCGAGAAAAGTGCAACAATGGTGAGCTTCTCAGCTCTCTTGAACAATTCCTTTATACTCGACGATCTTCGTCAATCTGCTAGTACCGATCCTTGAAATCTCTCTGAATCTCACTGCAACTTCTTCGTTTCAGGTCGTCGCACAGAAGGTGAAGGAAGCAGAGATCACCGAGCAGGACTCGCTTCTTCTGGTAATTTTCGATCGCTCATCTACTAAGAATAATCGTAGCGATAATTTGAAGTTGTTAGTGATTCTTCTGAATTTCTCAATAGATAGTATTTCGTTTTCTAAATCTGATCGGTTTTCGTTTCATTAAATGTCTTCTCATATGTGATTGAATCTCTCTCTCTCTCGATGAAATTTGCTGTGAAATATTGCACAACTCCGAAAAAGTTCTGTTAGAATCGTTGTACGGATTTTCAAATATAGACCATATCTGGAAACTGAGGATGATGATACGAGTTTTTGACAAGTAATTGACGATCTGTGTGAAGATATGAAGCTTTTTATTCATTTTTCAGAAAAATTTAATATACGTAGGATTATGTCTTAGCATGAGTAAATTTGATTGAAGAAACGCGTTAGATTTCATAAAATCTAAATCGCAATGTTTGTACGATTGTGATGATGAATTTTACGATACTTGTATGAACTGGTTCTGAGCATTCAATTTCGTTTGATCTGAGCTCAGACGAGGAACTTGCTTCGTATTGCTATATTCAATATCAGTTACATCAGAGGCCTGTTTCCGGAGAAGTACTTCAATGATAAGTCTGTTCCTGCTTTAGGTAATTGTTTAATAATCTCAATTTGTTGTAGTTTTTGTTTTAATTTCAAATGTTGGTTCATGATTTTTCTTTGGAATTTTGAAATCTTCGACAGAGATGAAGATCAAAAAGCTCATGCCAATGGATGCGGAATCTCGCAGGCTTATTGATTGGATGGAGAAAGGTATAGATGGTTGAACTCACTGGTCATTAATGTTTTAATTTTATCTCATCTCGTTGATTTGAAATTTTGAATGAGGTTTCAGTTTCGGTTTCGATTTCTTGTTTGGCTATTAGTTTTTATGTTAATTTCAAACATTTGTAGGTGTATACGATGCATTGCAGAAGAAGTACCTGAAGACGCTATTGTTCTGCGTGTGCGAAACAGTTGAAGGACCAATGATTGAGGAATACACTTGTAAGCTATTCACGAAATTAATCATCTAAATCACCTTGCAAAATTTGATTAGGTTCAATGCTGGTTGATTTTGAAGTGTGAATTTTTTAGTCTAATTTTAATTTGCCTCAGTTTTGGAGAATTGACTTGCTCTAATTGATCTTCACCTGCAGTTTCTTTCAGTTACTCAAATTCTGAAAGCCAGGAGGTTTCAATGAATATAAGTCGCTCTGGGAACAAGAAAAAAGAGGGTGGAACATTCAAGTGCAACTCCACAGCAGAAATAACTCCCAACCAGATGAGGTAACTTTGGTCGAAATTCGTTCCAGATTTTATTCCCATCCTGTTTGGCGAATTTGTGAATTTTTGGAACTATATTTTTCCAGGAGCTCTGCGTGTAAAATGGTCCGCACATTGGTTCAATTGATGAGAACTCTTGATAAAATGCCAGAAGAGGTAGGTAAACCTATAATTTGCTACCTGCAAATTTTAATGCATTCTGCAATTCCTGGAAGAGTGTTTCTGTGTTGGTCTGGTATTTAAAGATGTTTGAATCTCTTTCTGTTTCAGCGAACCATATTGATGAAGCTCCTATACTACGATGATGTGACGGTACACCATTTTTAATTTCTTTCTCGTTTTGTCAAATATGCTTTGTTTGCCAAAAGATGACAGTTATATTTTTGACATTGCAGCCAGCGGAGTATGAGCCTCCATTCTTCAGGGGCTGCTCTGAGGAAGAAGCTCGTAATGCATGGACCAAGAATCCTTTGAGAATGGAGGTTGGGAATGTAAACAGCAAGCATCTTGTATTAACGCTGAAGGTAGGGAATTGAGAATGTTTTTGGAATGTCTGATATTCAAATTCATGATTTGTGGTCCAGATTTCACTTTGTTTTACTCGTTACGTGTACAGGTAAAAAGCATCCTTGATCCTTGTGAGGACGAAAATGATGATATTCAAGATGATGAAGTGAGCTTAGGAGCTGATTCTATGCAAAGGGATGATTATTCGGGATCTGATTCTGACAGTGAGGTAATATTTTATAGCTTGTTTGGGTTTAGAGCTTCCAATGAGCTTAATGGTGCTAATTGATGTCATTATTTTCTTTACAAAATAGTTTACACATGAAACATGATATGGTTTGGCACTACTTTCAGGTTAACCAATCACAAGACGATCATTATATAGTTGCTCCAGTAGGTGAGGGTTCTGAATCTATTGTATGGTTTGGCTTTGTACTGTAATTCCCACCTGCTTATCTGTTGGTCTGAGTTGTTAGTGGAAGTAACAATGGCTTTCTTGACAGATAAGCAACAACCACAGAAAGATAACAGCACACCACAGGAAGATGACAGCATGGTTGATGAAGGTAATAAAAGAATTACACTTTTCTAAGTTAGCAGACCAATTTCGATGTCACAGTGAGAGTCACACAAACAAGTTTGAACTTGAAAACTCTGCTGAATGATGGGCTATTTCTTGGCTTTAATTCCTAAATTAATTTTCCTGCAGTGCTAACCTAACGGGTTTTTTTTTATGATGTGTAGATAACACTCAGGATTCAGTGCAAGATGAACATCAATTGGCTCGGATAAAGGACTGGATCAGTAGCCTCCACCTTGACACTGTTGAACTTACTGATGTTCTCTCAAATTTCCCGGACATCTCAGTGGTAAGTATTTCAACTTCTCAAGTCTCTACAGGAAAAACTGTGTCAAAAAACCTTGCTCTGTTGGTATATTGTAGTATACTCATGGACTCCATCTCGCCATTCTTATATGCTGCAGGTTCTGACTGAAGGTAAACTGAAGAATGCACTTAGAGCTGCTGGTTTGTTTTAACTTATTTCGTGGGTTTTATAACAAGATTTGCTACTTTTCAACCCTATTTGGCTGGATCACAGAAATTATGGACAAGCTTGTCATAGAAGGTATTCTATCAAAACCTGCAGGGGACACTTACACTATCAACAGGCCGAAGGTTTGCTTTATGTTCTCCTTTTTGTTTCAATTCTGAGGCCATATTTTATTGCTTTTGAGTCAAACTCTTTTTCCTCGATGCAGAAGCCTGATTATGAGTTCACTATGGTGAAAGAAGAAACGGATGCTCAAGTACCAGTTGCTGACAAAACTTTAAAGGTTAATGATCTCATGTACACAAAGGTGATTGCATTTCCTGTCTCAAAATTTTCTGTTCTCTGCAGAGTCCTCAAATCTCTGATCTCCCCAAGTACTGTACTTTTGAAAATCTACTTCTAATTAATAATACTGTTTCAGTTTGTCGCATTTTATTTGACCTGACTCTTTTTGTCTCAGGCGCTGTATCATGCTCTCCCAATGCAGTATGTGACGGTTACAAGGCTTCAGAACAAGCTCGGTGGAGAAGCAAATCAGACTACTGTGCGCAAGTTCATCGATAAAATGGCACGAGAGGGTTTTCTTGAAGCCAAAGGCAACCGAAGGCTAGGTGTGTGCAGTTATCCTTCTAAAATCCTTGTACTTACCGCTTATGTGGATCAAATTATATCTTAGTGTTTTCGTTTGTTTTCTAAACCAGGAAAGCGTGTGATCCGTTCTAAGATCACCGAGAAAAAGCTGAATGAAGTGAAGAAAGCTCTGAACAATGATGCAATGGTATATCTGTAAACATGTCTCAAATTTATTTCCATTTGTTTTCCTCTTACACATTTGCTTGGATTTCTCACACTGAACAGGATGTTGACAACACTGAACCAAATAACAAGTCCAGTCATCCAGATTTCCATACAATGGGTAAAAGACATAAGTGCTTTCAGTACATAATAATGAATTCAAGTCTCTGGTTACTTTTTGAATAAGCACTTAAGGCCTAAAAAATGCTTTTGTTATCAGGAAGCAGCATCAGGGACACATCCATATGCGGTGCCCTCCACTCCATTGGATCAGATCTCACACGCATGAAACTAAGATCGAACGGACCTCAATACAGTCCAATGAGGAGTGAGCAGACTGCTTCAAAGACAAAGGAGCATCCAAACACTCCCACAAGCAGGGCTGAGGTGAGTCTATTAATTTAATCCTCCACCCTTCCACTTCATGTCATTCTTCTCTTCCTCCAACTTGACTGTTCATACCAAGTTTAAATTCTGTTTGGATATTCTGCAGCCGGTGACTTCAAGGGAGAGCTTCGTGCCGGGAAAGGATAACGGCAGGGTAAATGGTAACACTGATTACTGTGATGATGGGGACAGAGTGATCTGCAGTGGGAGGTCTAGCCAAGACAAGCGGTCGAGGAAAACAAGCACGGTGCGTATGATTCGAAATCCTCACTATAAAATTGCCTGCTGTAGTTTTGTCACCAGCAAAACGCTAGTGAAAAAAAATGGTACGATTCTAATATATTGCACTCTGGGCATTTTTCTTGTTGTACAGGTGAAGGAGCCAATTCTTCAGTACTTGAAGCGCCAGAAGTCTCAAGCCGTCTGAAAATTTCCAGCATTTGCTGTCTGTCCGCCGGACTCGACTTTCCGATACTCGCGGAAAGTTAAGGTGTAAATTTTTACGGTGATTAGGAGTATAATGTGGTAAACTGGGGATTGGTTTTGCCCATCCACACTTGCATTTTCCTAAACCAAGGTCTTTAAGGATATGACGATGATTGAGTGGAATCGGATGGCTTCATGGTAATTAGCATAGAACAATACCTGCTTACTCAAAGAAGGATTAGGAGTTCTTACTCAAAATTATTCGTTGTCGATTATAAAACACCGTTTTTATAATCAAAACCGTTCATATTATAAATTATTTTATAAAAATCTCCTTTGTAAAAAATCAAATAAAACTCAGGTCGTTTAGTAATTATATAAAAACAAATGAATGGAATTGGTAAAAATATTACGAACGGTCTATGTATCTGCTAGAATAGATTAACTAAACGATCTTAATTTTAAATCATTTTTTACAGAAATGATCTTTACAATGTGATTTATGATATAGACGATTTTGAACATAAACACAAAACTTTGTGAGTTAAACACAAAAAATTTTAAGTATAAGTTTCTACTTGTCTTTGAGTAGTCAAGCATTGTTGATTAGCCTATATAACGCTGATGTGCGTTTTGCTCGATTGTCTCTTTTGGTTGTGTTCAAGATTTGTCCTTGCATTGGCCCACAGAATATTTTTAGCTCCCCTGTTATAATAAGGATGATAACAAATCAAAATCAATCATAAAAGTACGTACGTAGTGGATTATCATTAACACAAGTATATATAATATAATAACCCCGATTAAATTTTTTAAAGGAATAATTTATTTATTTTCTATCAGATAAGAAAATAATTTATATCTTTGTCTAAAAAATAAAAAAAATTAATTTATACACATGATATTTTCTTTTTTTCTCTTCAAAGTTTAAGATTAAATAAGAATATGCCTAGGAAAAAAAATCATTTTAAGAGATTTTTTTTTTAAACAAACGATATTATTTATATAAAGATAAAAGATAATCTAAACCTCACAACAATTTTGAAATAATATAGTTTAAATTTATTTTTGACCACTTTTCATTCATAAATGAATAAAAATACATCTAAAGGATACTGCTAAAAAATCATTTCTTTGTGTACTAAATTTAGGACCTACTACTTTAACGTGGACCTCTCCCGTAAAATGCGTACGCTAGACTTAGCTCCAGCGGTTTCGTAGTGGGCCCCACGTAAGATATAATGACTAGGCCCACACAAAGCATTTCAGCCTCAAACTCGACCTTGGTGGAGGCAAAGCTACTAGGCTACTCGCCACGAGAAACCATACGTCAAAGCTCCTTTCCCGAAAGTTCCACAAACATCCCTTCCCCGCTATTGGATCCGGAGTCGACTGACTCTGTGGGCCCACTCAAAACAAAACAGATCCGAGATCCACCGTCCATCGCCCGAACGCACAAGATTCCTTTCGTAACTGCTGCACTATAAATTTACTCTCGAACCAAAAACCATCCGTATTTTACGATCTTCCGAAGCCATTTCCCCTTTCAGTCGCGACTTCCCGGAATCTCAAAAACCGCCGCGAAGAGAAAGAATCTGCAAACGATGGCCACCGTCGATGTAATTAAATTTCCGATCATCTCAATTTTCGTTTTGTTTATCTTTTTCGATTTGTTTTTATGTTTTATTTGCCTGGATCTATAGCAACTTTCTGATGTGTTGTTGCAGAAGGGAGTAGAGATCGGCAAGGAGAAGGAACTGAAGCACCTAGGGTTTCTGAGGGTGGCGGCGATTCAGACCCTGGTGTGCGTTTCGAATCTGTACGATTACGCCAAGCAGAACTCCGGGCCGCTCAGATCGACGGTCGGTACTGTGGAGGGCGCGGTCACCGCCGTCGTTGGTCCCGTTTACCGGAAGTTTAAGGGCGTTCCTGACGACGTCCTCGCTTTCCTCGACGCCAAGGTATTCTCTTCTCTTCTATTTGTGTTTTTCCTGATTAGAAAAAAGAAACTGAAATTGTTCAGATCGGGAAAATTCTCGAATTAATTTGGTGAATTAACAGTTAATTAATTTGTGAAATTTGAATGCTGTGTGGTGGTTATACATGAATTTTCTTTTGCTTATGATCTATGAAGGTGGTTTTTAGTTGTGGTGTTGTATGTTCTACCTGGTTTTGTACCCTGACGCCGAAAAGGCCGTCGGAATCCATTTTAGTAAGAGACTGAAACATGATTCATTAACTCCTCCTTAGTTTTTTGGCTTGTGCTGGATAAAAAGACCGCGATTTCTACATCTCGATGGATAATTGATGCTTCTTATCACTAGATTTCTTTGTGTTTTTGCTAACTGGGTTTGTGAGCTACTTGTTTAATGAGGTTATAGTGTACATGTTCAACAGTTTTATGATGCTCGTTTGTTGTGTTATGCCCCTTGTGAATGCCTTACATGCATGAATGATCGATGTTGATCAAGGCTTGCTATATTCATTGTTCACAGGTGGATGAAGCCACGGACAAGTTCGACAAGCATGCTCCTCCTGTGGCTAAGCAGGTTGCGAGCCAAGCGCACTGCTTGATCCAGAAAGCAGCGGAAAAGGGGCAGAGAATTGTAAGGGAGGCTGAAACTGGCGGTCCACGCGCAGCTATTCACTATGCAGCTACTGAGTACAAGAACTTTGTCTTGAACCAATCTGTGAAGTTGTGGGTCGGACTCAACAAGTACCCTTCCATCCACACAGTGGCACAGAAGGCTGCACCAACCGCTGCGCACTGGTCTGGCAAATACAACCACACCGTAAAGGACTTGACCCGTAAGGGCTATGCCATCTTCGGCTATCTACCCTTGGTTCCGATCGATGAGATGTCCAAGGCAGTCGAAAAGGGAGAGGCGGAGAAGAAAGAAGATGCGGCTGCACATGTCGAGCACAAATCGGATTCTTCTGATTCTGATTGAAGGAATGTCTGTCTGCCTTTGGTGGTTTTAAGTTTGGCCTTTTAATTCTACTAGCTGTCCTGTTTTAAAGAAAAGTCGCGGGTGTGGGTGAACTGAAGAAATGTTGATAGCTACTTAGCTTCGTTAGCGTCTATGTAAATTTACATCTACTTTTGTCTCAGTTTGTTAAAGATTGTTGCACCGACGAGGACAAAAATAGACCACCGTGTCAGAATTGATTTTTTAGTGTAAAAATATGATTTTTTGTTAAAATAAAGGACTTTCCGTTAAAACTCCCAATAAAAGAAGGCCGAGAAATGTAAAATTCGTAGAATTAGCACGCGAAATGGAAAACTAAAACAAATGGAATCCCCAAGACTAAAACGAGAAATAGAAAACTTGTAGAATTAACACGCGAAATGTCAACTTCTCACACAACACCGAAGATGCACGGACTCTTATTCGAACAGACTAAAACCGAACAATATTTTTACGACAACACCAAATTCCAACAGCAACAGAAACCTCTACTTGAATTCTGCAGACGGCTTGACCTGCACCAAATAACAAGGGAGCGAGCTCCTCGATAACCATGGAAAAGACGAGCAGCTCTAATAAACGAAATTGGTCACGAATTTGCATAAACAGATGAAATGTTGGAGCCTAACCTATGAAAAGATTCAATCCAACAGAACCAGTGCCTTACCTAAAGGAGAAGGGTCGTATAAATCTAAACGCATGCAAGACCAGTACTGCCCATGCCCAATACAAACCATGAATTTACTGAAAGACTTTCACCGGCTAAATTTAGAATTAAAAACATGAAGCTTGCAGCAATGACCCAAACATATAGCACAAAGCTACCGCAAACGCCAATATCAACTCTCCTAAGGACATGCATGGGAGCAATTAGCATGAAGACATATCCAACCTACATTATCTCGGAGGCGACTGACAACAATACAAATCTTCCACACAGTCCGAACGATGCAATAGAAACACAGAATGGCTTCAAAACAGTAAAAAACAAACCTTATACGCACTCGATTAGTTTTGGGGGGTGACGGGATCATAGCTGTGTTGGAGGAGATCATCATAGGGGTCCCTCCGGCCTGCAACCTGGCTAATCTGGGCATCCCAACGGAGCTGCGAATTGTGGCGCTCAAAGGTCCAAAATCCGTAGGGACGGAGAGGTAACGCCCACATCTCCTTGGTCTTTTGGCACCGGTCTCTCACCGCATACACGTGCTCCCTGAACTTCCTATCCCTCTCTTTAGGATCCTCCATAATACCAGATTCTCAGCAAACTCCATTACAAACGCCATCTCTCACCCTTAACAACGTTAACCTAAAAATCATAGCTCTGTTCAGAGTTCCACAAACCCTAGTTTATACAAATTCAAAATATTCATAGAAAATCGATTCAGCTATTAGATTATTCTATTGGGATTCAATAGGGGAATTATAATTTCAGAATCAGATGCACTGAGAATCTGCAGATTTTCGTTTTCTTTCTAGCATTTTCTCGGCAACCAAACTGATCGGAAAATCTTGATGTGGAAAGAAATTGATTCAATAACCTATCTAAGCTGCGATCAATCTGAATTATAAAAAAATTAACAAAATTATCAACAGAATTGAAAAGGAGAATCGATTGGGAAACTTACCTGTTCGTTGATTAGAGCTTTCCTGCGTAAATCACTGTGCATGGCAAACGATTTTTGGTGTCAAACTGTCAAAAGCAGCAAAGCAGTTTCTTTTTCTCTGGAACTCTTTAATTTGGGCCCGCCAATATTTACCCGCTTTTCTTTCGTTTTTATTTGGGACCAAGGCCTTATCAACTTCCTTTTTCTTTTTCTCTTTTACTAAAGGCCCAATTTTGATGATATTGGACTTGCACCAGGTTTGAAGCCTAAAACTTTTCTAGGATGAGCTCATTTTTTCTTGTGAATAACGTATATTGACTGTATAAAAAAAATTGTAATCATCATTGTTGAATTTTTTTAATCTTTATTTGAAGATCATTCATATTCTACAAAAATTCATTTCAATCAGAGATCATCTAGTCATTCAAATGTGTAGAATAAATTGATGTTGTAGGTTTTATTTGATATGTTTGGATGATTAAATGATCTACAATTAGAATATTTTTTGTAGGATTGATTTTCAAATCAAGATTAATAAATTTGGTGATTCTAATCGTTGATTTTATTTGGTCAAAATACGTTATTCGTAATTCATTATTTTTGAGCGAAAAACTTTAGGAATGTCTTCTCTAATTTGTCAAAAGTGGAAAATCAACATAGGAAATATTTTTGCTCACCATCTCATTAATTACCGTGGCGTGGCTATCATTTAATTTATATGCTATAAGAATTTCGAGATTCAAATTCATCTAACAATAATTGATAAGGTGGAAGCATCAACATGACTTAAAAATGGTGATCATAAATTCTCTAATCACACATCTTAAAACGCAATAAGTGTCCAAATCAAATTTAGAGTAAGAGCGGACAAAATGAACGGCGGTTATAATTTCACAAAATACTTTTTTACTAGTACAAAGGAGGGAGAATGGTAGTCGAATTCTCTCCACCAGTGGTAAAGTGATCTACATTTGAAGCTGTTAATCACACACTCGTAGACAAATAGGATAACACATATGTTGTGTAATATGCTTTTTTTTTAATACATACAATATTGAAAGAAGAGAAATCGAATATAGAATTTCGAGTGCACGGTGAACACTGTTCATCAACTGAACTAAAAGCTCCATATGAGTCAGCAAATTTGCACTTGAAGAATTTGAGCTGAGCTTCTCTAGTGCATATAATACCCAGAAGTTATTATCTAATCTACTAGCTGCCTTATTGCTGTACAACACAAAAGCACTTATTTAGCCAACAACACAGCCTTCAAAAACTGCTTCTGCTGTTAGCTTATTTGGGCGGTCAAAACTCAAAGACAGGAGTTGGAGTAGGCAGAAGGGCATTGAATGAGCGCCATTTTTTGTAGAACTAATTGGCCCCCTGCATCACTAACTTTAATTTCAATTTACTAAAAAAAGCAGTACAAATTTAACTCCAACCAGTTTAATTAATTAAGCATAAACGAGAGAGAAAGCAAAAATTGGAAGCAAAAAGAATGAGGATCCTTTCCAGATCCTCTTTGTGAGGATCACAGAGATCCTCCAATCACATATTTTCATCGTACATCGTGCGATCAATTTTTGTCAGGTACTGTTTATATTTAATTTTAAATAAAAAGATTTACAATGATTTATGACCGCACGATATACGATGAACGAATATAATTAAATGATTCTCAAGATTCTCACAAAGAAAATCCAAAAAAAAAAATCCTCATTCAAACAAAAAAACATGGTGACGTTTTTACGCATGATCCATTTGAGACAAACATTTTCAAAATCTGACATCCATTTACTAAACATTGTCTTTTTTCTTAATTTATTTGTATTTTTTTGGATTTCCAAATTCCAATGCAAAGTGGTAATAATAATAATATGAACTACAAATTTAAATGTTCAAATTTAAGATCTGGGTTTTGTGCAGTGATGCATCATCATCATGTTGTACTTGTTTTATAGACCAAAATTCAGAGTTGGAAGCAATGAACTCTGTGGGCTTTGCTTACACTTTGGAAAGCAAGAAACTGGAGCAGCTGTATGCTCTCTGGTTTTTCACCAGCTACTCTTAAATGCCTAGCAAACATTTAGCTAGGACTTTAACCACACATGTGACTATTGACTTACAAGTTACAATTTACAACTAAAGAAACAAAACTGTAAGTATAAGCGTAAGTACTCTTAACCACTTTAGCTACAAGTTTTGTGTCGACAATCAGACCCAAAGTCGAACTGCATCCTAATTAAGCCTAATATCCCACCCAAATTAAGCTCAATAACTCTTTATCAACTCAAGTTTGTATGTCACTGGGCGTCTTAGAGATATTTGGTTACTCAATTAACACAATCTTTGAGTAAAACATTTGCCGCTCTAATTTTTAGTTTTAACGCTTAGACTTTCCAATTTCTCTTGCTTTGGCGTCAATATTAATGTTAGCATTCAACTAGCCATGTTATGAAAACTACGTAGCCCACCTAGTTTAAAATTCATCGTTCCACACTTCGATCTGATGTGTAAATTGTTAGTTTAATGTGAGTCGAACTTAAAATTTCTCATTTACAGATTGAAAATAAATATCACTACCTAGACAATAGTTGTGGTCAAACTCTATTGGCAACATTCTGGTTGGGTGTAGAAAAATGAAAAATAGTCAAAATATTTGGGCTACAGTTGCAGTTGGGTTTGTAAAGAGTAAATGGAGCTGCTGAGCTATAATTTCACGCCCATCTGATCACAACTAATGTGTTTAATGATTTGGGCTTGGACCACCATAACTCAACATCAAATGAATAACATAAATTTTAAAAGCGACTCTTTCAAAATTGAAATTATTTGTAGATTCTCTGTCACGTCATGTTTTTAACATAATATTTTATAATGTTACCACATAAATTGACGTTAAACTGAGAGGTGTCAATAAAAAATTTCACTTTGAGAGAGTTTCCTCAACATTATCCAATTAATAATATCAACAACAATGATTTTATTTTCTCTGAAAAAAGGAAAATAAAATAAAAAGTGTTAAAGAGAAGAACAAGTGCGCTCCCACCAGGAGAGAGATGCTGTTTTAATTTTGTGTTGTTATTTTCACCACTTGATTTGGTTTTGTGAACATAATTGACTCCTCCCTAAAAACAACAATGCCCACCACTTCCAAATTTCACATTTTTTTCCCCACTACCACTACTTCTATTCCCCTTTTCTTCTTCTCATTTTTTCCCACTAAAACAATCTAAAAACGGATTAAATTAAGTCACACAATATGTTAGTCTTATTAACTTGTAGTCATATACTGAAGTCAAACCTAACACCTCCTTAATTATAGTACCAAAAAAAAAACAACACTTGACTACTTAAGAATAAGTAGGAACTCGTACTCAAAATTCTTCGTGTTCGAACCACAGAGTTTCATGCATATGATTAAAACCGTTCATATTATGAATCACTCTGTAAAGATCATATATGCAAAAAATAAATTAAAAATAAGTCTTTTAGTCAATTTATTGTAGCAAATATATAGATGATTCGTAATACTTTTACCAATTCCGTTCATATGTTTTTATACAGTTCGATAACTAAACGACCTTAATTTTAATTGATTTTTTTCTTTTCAGAAATGATATTTATAGAGTGATTTATAATATGAATGATTTTGATCATAAACACGAAGTTATAAAAATCAACAATAAAAATCTTTTAGCGGAAACTTTTATTCATCTTTGGGTAGCCAAATATTATTAAAAAAACAATATAACAACATAGTAATTCTAATAGCTTTTTGTTACTTTTACTTTCCTTTCCTATTGTTCTTTGCCAATCACTTAAATGTGTGTTCTGACCCCGTTTTACCACCTAAAAGCAAGTGCGATGATCAACACATCCTTTTGGTGTCTGCCGCACAAATTGCTCATTGCTTGCGCTCTTTCAGTCTCCAAATCCAAACCCTCAACCTTCCCTCAGACGCCACCTTCGACTCCCCTTCATCGCCGCCTGCCAATCCCTCCGCCTCCTGGACTTAGCCTGTCATCCACTTCCAAATCCTTATCTCTAAACCCCAAGTTTTCACCTCAAACAATCACGACTTCAAACATGAATGCATGCTCATGTCGTCAATTGGGCTATCTATCCGATATTTACGTGCAATACCCATGTCGATTTGGATTTTGTTTGGGTTTTAATATATTATTGTGTTTTGTTATTTAGTTTTACGGTCTATTTGTATTCCTCTTCACTTGTAAGAGAGAGGTATTAGGTTCAATTATCGCCAAAAGCGATTTTAAACAACATTATTTGTAATCCATTGTAAGGCTAAGCTAGCACTCTTTCCCCTTAATATAGATAATATCTTTTATTCAAAATTTTTTTTATGTTTTTAATTTTTTAAGAACATTAATTTTTTGGGAACTTTAACGAAAACCTACTGTTACTGTTCACTTTAATGAAAAATCACATTTTTACACTAAAAAGTCAATCTTAGTACTATTCACTTTATCCTTTATTTTGTTTTTATCGTTAAAACTCAAAGTTTTCAAATCCTTTTCCTTAGTTTTCCTTAATTTTTTAGCTTAATGTTTAAGTGTATTTTACATGTGAAAAAATAGTGAAAAAAAGCAGAAAGAAAAGATTAAAAAAATAATAATAATAAAAAAACTGGCATTCCTCTTTTCTTTATTTGACATCAAGATAAGGAACATCTTTAACTTTACCTTAAAGTCAAGCCAATTCCTCACCCCCATAAAATCACATTTTCTACCAATCTATGCCCAAATAATAGATTTTTCAAACTTTTTCTAAGCATAAATGAGATTTGTTGTGTGTTCATATCAAAACTTAGAAATGGTATATGTCACATGACCAGTTACTCAAAGACTGGAAATTCTGCACGTATAAACTTAATTAAGTTGGCTAAAATAGCATGCATACAAATTTCATTTACATCTTCGTAAATTAAAGAATTTGAAAATTTAACATTCCCAAAGACAAATGACCTATTTGGCACCTACCCCAGAAGACAATTGTGTAATATCATTTAAAAAACCAACTATGTATTTTGCATACGTGAATATCATTTAGAAAGAAAAAAATCAATGCTTGCATACGTAGATTAAGCCAAATGTATCTTGCATACGCAGATTAAGC